AAATATATTTTTTTACAGGTAGTGAAACTGTCCACAAATACATTTCTGTACTAATGAAAATGGGATAATTTAGCCATTTTGTTTACTTTCATATTAGTGACAAACCGCACAGGTCATTATGTCAGTCTCTGCATCATTTCAAAGGCAAGTCAGTTCATTCAGTGGTCATATTCGTAACGGCCCTGAAGAAAGTATTTCTAGCCATGCAAGTACAGCTCCTATCCATCTCAATAGGGAAATATATATATTTTAGGTTGGTCAAGCTAATGTGCAACACACAATTGACCTATCGGTAAGCCCCGCCCCCCTTAGCTACTGTTGCTCACTCGGAAAAACAAACAGTGAGAGTTGCTCTCACTGTCTTACAATGACAGCTGTCAGTGAAAACCTTCTTCCGAGGTGTTTCTGATAAATTTGGGGCACAGATGGACCTTCAAGTGGGACTTAAATATGCCATGGAGGGATACAATTTGGGACACAGATGGACCTTCAAGTGGGACTTAAATATGCCATGGAGGGATATATAAAAGATATTAAAATAAATATGTAAAAATACAGATCACAATGCAAACGGGAGAATTATGTTACGGTCATCATGATCGCAATGACAACATCCAGGATCAACACCGTTCATATACCACAGAGTAAGATTAAATTAATTTACATTTAACCAGATTTTTAATGGAGAGGCACTATAATCGTTTATGTGTTTTTGACTTTCACTGCACGGTACATGATGTGAGAACTCACACGGCTCTGGGGGGTGAACAAAGGCCTCCTGTAGAGAATCTATGCGTTTTTGTAAGAACAATATCCATATTCAAAACGTAATAATCACTTTAATGTAGCTTGCGCCAACAGTTGTACACGGAAGCAGTTCCGGCTGATGAAGTATGAGGTCAGCGCTGCACATGCGCCGGTGAGTCGTGAAAACCAACGTTTGTTAACAGGATCAAAGGAAGCAAAGTTTCCTTACTCTAGCAAAAGAAAACCAGTCTCCTCTTGGTTTATATCGAAAT